GAAATATAAGTGGTCACTGGCCCGATGTCTTATGGCACATTGTACTCGTTATGTTTCTGAGAACACGCTAGCATGCAGCAATCATGCGGCACGTATTGTATAGTACAAAGCTTACAATAGAAAATTCTTAGGAACAACGACAAACATGAAACAAATACTATAATTGTACTGATGCATTAACAATAACTCAGTCAAGGCTCTGCTGTTTAAATAAATTTTGAAACAAACTTATGACGAGTTTTAATAAAATATGTAGCATGGATTTTAGCTATAAATCGGTTATAAATTCAAATTCCATTGAATAGATACATAATTCATATTGAGGGATTTTTATCAATTTACTTTTGGCCGAAATCCCCTTAATGATGTTGCTTTCAGTTTCAAATACCATTATAACTTTTAAACTACGGAACGGATTTTAGTAAAATAATAATGGCGAACTGAATTTTCTAAAATCGACTGGCGCCTGTTAGAATTTCTGTAATAAAACTGTGTTGCCGTGGATATCCCTTATTAAGCAGAATTATAATTATTGAGTAGGGAACAGCTTTACCTAAATTATACTTATCGGCTTTCTGTTAAATGTTTACTAAAATATTTAAAATATTAGACATTTTATTCGCTGTAAATTATACATAAAATGAAAACTCTTTATCTTTGAAACAAAGCTAAAGCTTAGCAACCTAAAGGCAATGAACAGATAGACAGATCGCCATGAATTGGATTTATGTTAACAAAGGAAATATAATAAGCAATTCAGCTGACGGGTGGTCTTTAACTGAACTGAAAGTGGCTGGCACTAAAGATGCAACTTGTATAGTCCCAGATTGAACAACCAGTTAAGGTAAGACCTCTTTTACGTAACTACATACTATGCGGGACAATAAAAAACGTTCATAAGTTCACTTTAACGTTACCAATTTTAAAATGTCAGATTGTTAAACCGAGACAAGTATCAGTAAATGAATAATTTCCTGACAAAATGATCTTTGTAATTTGAGCGAAATACGTTTAAGTTGTAAGATGAGCAGGTACTTTGGAAAGATAATTTGTTTTGGACAATAACTGCACTAAGTATTCCTTAATTCATACAGCTTTTGAAGATTTTCCCTCTCAAGTGCCCTCATCTTCATTTCGACTTCGCGATAGCTTGCGTACAAAGTTTAATTGATGGATAGTCACTTCATTGAATTAATTGGTTGAGCGCTGCATCCGCGTTTTAATTTGCGCCGACATCTGTGACTCTGGCTCTTCTGTATAATGGATCAGTGGTTGGAACTAGTTTCAGTTGAGTGATATCAGTCCAATTAATTGGTTTTACTCAACAACCACATTAATTGATTGGCAAATTATATTATCGCCTGAGTGATATTAACTCACATAAATCATGAGTAGACAGACATGTTTCGCTGATTGCTAGTCGTAATAAGTGTCTTATTTAGTGTGTCGTACCGTACATGTTCTGTTTTATTTATCACATGGATAGAAAATATTAATAAGTTAACTATTTGGGAAATGACGATGGTATTTAGACCACACGTCGACCGAGGTGACCGTGGCTTGGGTCTTTTGTACATCACCCTATTGTGCTCGCATACTAAATGGCAAAATATGGAATCGATATTGAAAGGAATAAAAACAAGTAATAACAAGCTAATTGTAGAGGAAATCAATACAACACATTAAAAGGAAATTGATACTACACGAGTCAAAGGCAATTGAGAGCTGATCAATAAACTGTTCGTTCTTTCCAGCAAGCTTTGATCTTTTAAAAGGAAACAAGAACTTGCGTTTTCTTTTTCGTTTTATTAAGGATTTTCCAATTAATACTTGATTTTCAGACAATCTTTAATTGTTATAATATTTAATTTGGTCGTCAGCAGTTATTGCAGAAGTCATAAAGATTGGCTTGTTTTCTGGTATATTGCACTGTCTATTGTGCAAAGGCTTTATTGCGAAAACAAGCGGCAGTCGAGATGGCAAGAAGCTGACACGTTATTACATTGAAATTGTTTGTAATAACAACGTAAACTAGCAAGGAAAAAGGTATTATTGTCATGTTTATAATATTCTGTCTTCACTGTAAGCTCTGAGAAAGACTTTTATGTTTACAGAGCGAGTATTTTCAGAGAATTGATAAATACTTATATGCATCAGGGACCTACTTATTGTTTTACTAACTTTTAGCCGAAAATGTGGGTTGATGTACGTATATACCTAGTGCTATATATGTAAATTTAAGGCCCAGAGGCGCCCACGCAGACTCTCAACGGAACTTAGTTGTGTAGGCGACGCGACGGTATATTATATTATTAAGGAGATAAGTATTGTGAAGAATACTTTGTAGTATTAAGGTATCCAAACTACATTTATATGACAAGACTACAATGGCATGTTTGAATAGCACGTATTACATGGAAAATATTGTTAGTCAATAAGAGGTCGTTGTGTGTAGTCGAAGCACCTATGTACCTCCACTCAACTCATTAACTCGCCTCGTAAACTTTATTACACGGTTCCTTCTATCTTTGTAGAAGCACGGGCAGTTTATAAATTAGTTCAGACAGTCTCGGTCCTTTGTATCTATTGTATAACGCACATAATTAATATTTTAATAAAAAATCTGTTTCCAAAGAAAATTGTTTCAAAGGGGTAATTTTTATTCGTCTGTGTAGACAGAGGTTTAATTAAAGAAATATTTCATTTTGTGCTTATGTTGTGTAAATTTATTCAATTTTTAATGAATTAGTTGTGTAATACGGTGTTCCTCTCTTTGATAAACCTTCTTACTTCTGTCGTCACCATACAACATAATCTGACATTCTATTGTTCTATTGAAGGTATGACCAATGTAAGGATTGTAGTGCAATTAGATGTTCTAATATTCTGTTAACGTTTCTTCCCTGAGCCAATTAAAAAGCTCGATACACGCTGTGGGCGAGTTGTAGTGAACTCATCGTTAACGATGCTGGCTTCTGGACATTGCTCCCATACGAAAGAGAGTGTAATAAACATGACTAAATCTGTTCCATAAGAAGAAATTACTAGCGTAATAAAGATTTAAATATTAGTATCACGGAAGTGTTAAAAGATACAATCGAGGAGAAAATCTCAGTTGAAGTCGATCATAAATCATGTTACGATGGATGTTCTAATAAAAGCATCATCTATCAATGTTAATCTAGACTGCTGGTTAACATGAATCCTAGAGGAAGCAAAAGTTGTATCAGTGGGGTACAAGGGTACAAGTGAACGTACCAATACCTGAAGCGTCGCCTTACTTTCAAGTAGCACGCAACTTACGTAACTAAAGTTACGTAATCAATAAAAGCCTTAATACAACGAGGATCTAGATTCTTGACTTTGCACAAAAAATTCCATCTTTTTACTTACTTCACCTACAGACGAATAAATACGTCGATAACGTTCAAAAATCTCCATAAAAAGTCTGTCGGCATCATTACCAATGTATTGGTAGACATTAACTGTATTTTCATGTTCTTTTCATCTGACAATGTTGTTAAAGAAAATATTGATACATTGAATGAGTGAAATATAAATGATGTTATCACAAAACCGTTCTCGCTTTGGTAAGGACCTATTTATAGAACGTACCAGAAAAATTCATAGCTGCCGTAAAAATGTATCTCATTTTCCGAACGACCTCACCTGGCTTTTGTGAGGCAGACGTCCATAGCAGACGTATAATAAAATTAAATATTATCAATTTCGTCGGTCACGAAGGATTGATTACCTGCCTTGAATCGTCAAGATTTTCATTCTATTTTACTTACAGTGAAATACCGAGATGAATTTAATTAAATTCAATAAAATCCTTTTGATAAAGGAAACTTCACTTGAAATCTTTATTCAATTTTTATTTACTCGGTACTCGAAATAAAAGTAATATAATTTTACTCAACAAGTCGCAAAACTAAACATTCTTCCTGAAAAACTTGCTGCCCGACATTGCTTCATGGTTCAGTTATTAAAATGTATAGCGTACTTATTGAAGTGCATTAAAGTAAAATGTAATAAAATATTTTAGCCTTTGTAGTCATTGAGCTACTTTCTGAAACATATTTTAAACAACATTTTACCACGGTCCGATCAGCGTCGTCGTCTATGTTCATATAAAGGTAATTATTTCATTTAGTTCCTACAATAAACGGTTGGCTATCGTTGTTTTATTACATTGGGTACTGGCTGCGAAATGCGGAGGTAATTCCAGATGTTAGTGGCAGCTTTAATTAACCATTAAAAGCTGTTTCTTCGAGTAAACACGTTGGTAAGCGGAAAATATGGGATCTTTTTAAAGACCTTTCAGATGCACGCCGCTCAAAGGGTAATTTAATTATGTTTCAACACAAACACTGGTTCGTTAGTTGGTTAGATAAAATGTAGGTATTTTCATTAAATAAAAAGTTAAAAGTATAGTTTCGAAGAAATACATTATTCACACGAGGACGCACTCGTAATCCTCACCAGGGCCACGGTCACTAGCGACGCGCGTGCGACGATTGCTCTCATTACAGCCAACAATGCAATATCGTTCCACAGTACAATAACTGCACGTTGAACATGTTACATTGATCTTTTAACTGCGGACACATGCACCTATTGAATGCAGCGGAGGTCGAATCTATACCTCGCTTGTAAAGTCGACTATTTTAAAAGTTTTTGTACTCGATCAGTCGAGATTTATTAAATCTAGTGAATGGGCCTGCGTATCAAAAAGTCTTAGGCAGATGGTAGATTTTTTACTGCAGTACGTGTTTTTCTCTTTAGATAATTGAATACACGCCAATGATACTGCATAATGTATTTTTGCTATATTTTATTCGTAAAATGCAATTCGCATGAAAATGTAGTAAATATAGGGTAAAGACTATATTTGCACCATGCAGAAAGCGGACTTTGGCTTGGGGCCAAGGGATGGCAAGGACCGTAGTGACCGGAATACATAGAGTATTGCAACAGATAAGATAGCAAATACTTACAGTTGAGTCCAAGATCGTGGTACGTAATGATGGCTGGCTTGGAGCGGTCGCCTTGTACCGCGACAACGATATCGCCGCGATCGGTGCGCACACGCACCTCGACGCATCCCCCCTCGCCGCTGAACCGACGAGCGCTTGGGAACTGCAGCTGGATGTTCTTCAGCTCGATGTCATCCATGCTGTGGATAAAATTACCTGTAGTATCATCTTCATCATAAAATAAAAGTCGGAGAAGGAATCTTCCACTTCAGATTTTAGTAAAAAACCTTTCGGTTTACATATACATGTAAATTCAACACTTGATGATCAGTTTTGTCACTAACTGGAAGATGATCAAATCTTTCAGTTATGAAGACTATCACCAGATTATGCAGGATGCTTAGAATATGTATAAATATACAGTCAAAATGTGATTGAAACTTGCGTTTTGTTGTTGTTTGTTTTACTTGCGTACATAAATATTTTTAACGCTTTATTTATTTACTAAGAAAACTTTGAATGTGATTTAATTAACCCTCGCGTAAACTTGGATAATTTATTAGTTTTCCCAGTGCAGCGAAAATTTTATTATGTGTGATTCTCACAACGAAATAAATGATGCATCTGATTAACATCTTTTGTACCAATAACTACATTATTACTAATAAAAATAGACTTTGGCGATGACCAATCTTATTAGGAGCTAATAGTTGTAGCACAATATTGCTTAGTATGTATGGTATTATAGATACGACTAACCTAAAACATGTTTAAACGAAAAGCTGAGCCTGTGGGACCGAGACAATGTATGGACGCGTCAAGATTTAAGGACTAATGGCCTAACATTTATCCACGTTTAGTGCAGAAAAATTTCCAATCCTTCTTAAGTAATGTTGCCACAAAGCTTTGAAGTGAAACTGAAAGAACTTGACCACATCGTTTTAAACTTAGGGATTTTCAAAAGAACTTTTATAAACAGTCTTCATTTTAATGTTCCCTCGCACTTTTCTAGCTAATCCCTTTTCTATTGCTCCTTTGATTACAAAAAGAACCGCCGCTCAGAATATATTAATAGAAGAGCTCGCGTTATACATACAAATGTTTACGTAATATGGTGGCGGTGGTAAACCGCAAAAAATATATTGAACTAATTAACTTCAATGGTTTGAGCTTAAAATGCAGTAGCAAGATTATCAGTAACATAGATAAAAACGTATTAAAGAACGGACCACCGAACATTGCAGTAAGTATAATATTATAATTTCGGATTTTGTTTTTGTTGATTCATATTTTTGAAAAAAAGAAACAATATATACGGCACGCGTCAGGGGTTAGTAATACATACTTAGATAGTTGTAGTCGCACAATTTGATATTCCTTTTATATGATCGATTTCAGTAATGTTTCACTTCGTAGATTACATGAATATTTTACGTAGACAGTCAAAGGGAAGTGTTAAAGATGTTTACAATGTGAAAAAATGCCGTATTTATACATATTTTACGTATTTACATTGTACAAACAATAGCTAAAATAACTCTCTACTCAAAGTGTGTTCTCGAAGGAAAAGGTTTGTATATAATCTAAAATAAGGGAGTCGAATCATGAACAGGGACTTTAGTTACGATTGCTAACACAACATCAATTAAGTCCCGATAATCGCATTAATTTGTCGCCACCTCCACGCGGTAAGCAAAGCTCGACACTATCAGTAATTGGATGGTGAGTAGGAAGTAACCCGACCTTCACCTAGCGCCTAAGACATGCTAAGATAAATTAAACGTAGCTCAAGAGCGAAACTTGTTAATACGCGTCTAGACATAAAGGTAGTTTGAGCCTTACATACGTTCCTTAGCTAAATCACGTAGGACAGTTGCCGCGTGAAGTATCGCGTCGCATCGTAAGACTAACGGGATAAGAGTCACATAAATATTGCTTAAGACAAGGTTTAAGGTGTAACTTTTAACCACCACTAAACCTAGAGTTACACCGTGCGGTTAGCTAAATGGATAAAAAGGTCTTGTTTCATGGACGCAAGTTTATAAAGAAAAGCCTTAGATTGCGCTAACAAAGAGCAGAGTCAAATATCCCAACAGATCACTCGTTTGGTTAGCTCACAATAGATATTTGATATTCTAGTCAAAGGAAAGCTCTCAGAAATCTAATTATAGCCAGGTTTTAAGTTCAATTTACAAAATAAGATGACCCTTTGCAAACTTTTGTAGAAATTTACTTCGAGGATTCGATATTTAAGTGCGAAGTCATAAAATTGAATAAATATGATTCCGGTGATTTATGGCGCTCCTGTTCCAATTCAATTGACCACTGTTGATTTAACGCAAGCGACGTGTAAACACAATCAGGAATTGCATTTTATGACATACTCAATGGTCATCAATTTAAATGACACACACTCATAAATCAAATACTTTTTACACATACAAACATCTACGATATGAATACTTTTGAAATGCAGGGCATTGTGCGAACAATGGAATGGTCCAATTGAGCACTTATAAAATGTGGCCTCTTTAGATAATGTAAAGTTTTATTAAGCTAAAAGCGGTCGCTGGGAAGGGACTGGAGAGACTTCCGTCTGTCAACGTCAGAGGCAACGAATTCGGAAATCATGTACCGTATTGGGTCTCCTACGAAAATTTCAAGGAAGCAGCGGCCACGAGATAATGTACGTTTATATATGGTTTATACGCACTCGTGATGTCTTTGGTGGAACAAGAGTAGGACCATCAGACAACCTTAAGCTTTGTTACAAGTAGGTACATATTTGTTGTTTAAATGCAAGAGCATTGGTAGTTTATTACTACTAATAAATATATTCTAATAAATGAAACAGTCACCTTGAAACATACAGAAAGGGCAACAATTAAAGGCTTAGAATACGAATTCAAAGAACAAAATAAGCGATATCACCCCAGTATACGGAACTGTGATAATAAAATGCACGAGCTTTTTACATCAAGTTTAGAAATTAATGTTTTAAAACTTTATTACTAATGGGATGTTGGAAACCTTAAATGGGACGAAGAACAAGTAAAAAAATGGTTTAGAATAGAGGATTTATACAATTATATGTGGATGAATTGTATAAAGAAAACGATTACTTAATTTCGATAATCGATTATTTATTTGTATTTAATTGTTAAGGTCACTTTCGTAATATTCGGCCCAGCGGCAAATTCTTTTTTGAGAAATTAAGTTTTCTTGTCTTTTAACAAAAAGCACAATGAATCTAAAATGCTCGATGGATCCAGGGAGGACCGATCACTTTAATCGAATCTATGTAACAGCAACGTAATCCGCTTAGTGAATGCAGGCTATTGAAATAAGTTCCGCTACTAAAGCTGGACAATGGATAGAGAATTAAAGGTGAAGGACGACCAAATTGGCCAGGAATTATATCCTGAAGCGAGATATTGATGTTGGTTATTTCGGCTTATACTAAGAGGTGACCGCTGCCCCTTGACACAAGCAATATAACCCTGGTCGGCTTGGCTGAGAAGATTCAATAAGTATTTATTATTTAAAAAAACCAGAAGAATCCATCGGTTATTCAAAATGAGCTAGACATCTACATTCCAGTCGTCAAGGGTCACTTCACTTGTAGCAACCCATAAAAATCATAAAAATTGATCCGATTACACAGCTAAACATACGTGAAAGAGCAGTAGCCGGTATCACTTTATAGACAAAAGTCGGCGTAAGCGCTTTACCGCCGGTGCACACCTTAGGGACGTCGACATTTGTTCCGCAGTGAGAAACTCCACTACACATCTCAACACAATGTGAATTTGTGTATGTTTCAACGTTCAGTGAACTGGACAAAGACCGCATTTGGGATCATGTTTGGCTTTAGACCATTGATCATTTTCAAGGGTCTAACTTTAAAAAATGGCGGGACCATACGTTGTATAATATCTAAGTTGACTGTGTTCAAATCATCGTGACATGCGACTTCTAATTTCATGAAAATCATACCACATTCTACAGTAAACAAGAAAAATTATCCACACATCATGTAAATACGTTGTTCTAAAGAACGAACTTTGAAGACTACACCAATGACATTAAAATATGTGGATTTATATTTGTAAAAGGTTTTGGTCAAACTGAGAAAATCACGGTTATTTAGTTCATTGCAATCATTACCTTAAATTGTCTTTCTTTTACTCTATAGATATTGCAAAACTGCCAAAATATTTGTGGGTAATTTCTTGCATGCTTTCATTAAACATAAACTTTTCTACCTGTGCCACATGTCGTTATTGAAGTTCTGTTATTTATGCTGGCACACCAGTAGTAATACAAGACAATAGGGGATGTAGAAACGAAGTAAAGAACTACTAGTACGTTACGTAATCTTATTCACGCTGCTACTATTACGCACGGCTACTGGGGGCTGGAATACGTCACAAAGCGCAGCGCCACCTACGTTTTTGTGATGTGCTGCTATTTTCAACTCGGACAATACAGGCAGGCTGATTATCACTAACCACCTCTCCACAGAACTCCTTTGAACCTAGAAGTCAATAAAAATATAATATGATATCTAGACAAGTGGAAGGTGATGCGATCCAATCAGCCAATGCTGTTATCAGTCAATTATGGGGTAACTGTGCTTTGAGGTCTTCGACTGGAATTAAAGCTGCAGTAAAAACGAAAGTAAGAAACATCCGTTTGGAAATAAGGTCGAGACACAGGTTTCGGCTGGAGCCTTACCCAGGCGATGCCCTCGCCCCGCGCGCGAGGGGGCACCGAATCGACCGGGCTTCTTGGCAAGAGGCCAGGACGAGAGGTCGGGGACAACAGCGCCACTTTCAATTTGAGAACGGATACACCAGGCACGACCAATGCGACTCACCTTATCATTTTTTCACTAAATAGCAAATGTCCTATTTTAACACTTTAACACTAAAGCAACGAAAACAATGTTCGTACTTTCAAAATTAACGAGCAAGTTTGACCATCTATCTTCTACGTACTGTCATTTTATATCCTTAAACTAAAGACTCATATAAAACTAGTAACTAGAGCAATTACGCTTTGACCCGAAGGAAAGTTGTCTCGAAAAACTAACTGTATGTAGGGTAGAGACTGAGCAGGATAATATAGGAAAAATCTCGTTTTATATTCAGCTCAGCGCCGTAAAGTTAAAGGTAACATTCACGCAAGGTGATGTGTA